ACACCGAAAGGTAAGTATTGTATCACCAGTGGTAATTTGAAACTGGATTCTCAAAGTGACATTCACCGAGTTCCGGGTTCAAATCCGACCTTATCCGGTATTTCCACCAAAGATTTCAAAGAATGTGTTTGCAATAACTTCTGTGTGTGATTGTTCATTCAACCCGGTGCCACCTTGGAATCTTTTACCGTCAACGAGCTTACTTCCAGATCTCTGTTTTACACTGTTTCACTGAACTCTACAGACAGTCATCAGCTGCCACTAGGTCTGTCACACGTGATACTTATGAGTGTAAACAAGTTAAAAATCGTTTTATTCTTTGATCAGACGAATTTTTATCTGACAAATGATCACTCGTCAGTGAAAGTCAAAAATATCCCTAGAAAACAATATGAATTTCACAAATTAGAACTCACACTCACATAGCCATTGACATAAAAGGAATACAAATTCACGCATTGTACAGCCATTTATGGATGCGCTTATCACTAAAATCTAACATTCAAACGTTTTTATCGATTTTCCGTCGGAATCCGACAGTTGAAACAAAAAGCCAAAGAAGACCGAACAATTGTACGTTCACTTTGCAAACCGCCAATTTTCTGGCTGCGTAATTCTAAGCAAAATGATCAATCAATTATACCATTTATTTTCTCTCTCCCTCCTTATAACTGTTCACTCTATCAAGGCAAGCCCTACAACAACAACAACAACAACAACAACAACCACTCCAAACGACATGATGGGCTTTGTCAAACAAATTGCTCTCTTCAGTGTCGTCTTCAACCGTCAAACTTCAACCGGTGATACATCATCCACGACCCATCAATCCATTCAACTGTCCATTAAATCTTAGCCCGTGCTCGAACAGATGTCTCCGTTCAGAATATAAATGACAAGTGAATAATCCCATATGGTTCAACGGTACCACCGGCATTGCACGTGTGCGCTTGCGCGTCAGTGTGTACGTGTGTGCGTATGTCTTTGTTGGTGTGTGAGAGTGCATTCGTAGGGTATGCCAAGACATTTTCAGCTCACCCCGGCCTAGTCCACCGCCACCAACAGTTCCTCTCGATCTTTTCTACCACAGAAAGGATATGATTGTACAGAATGCGTAATTTGTATCTGCTCGGGACAGAGTGAAATACGCGTGTGCTGCTCCCCTGCCACACACAGACACAAGCGAAATTGGCACTACATCCAGCAGCTTCATTCTATGCTGAAATTAAAATTAATTTTCACCTGAGGGAAAGGGACTTTGTGTCTCGGACGGGGGCGGGGGGAGAGGGGAGAGGACGGGAGTCAGAGGTCCGGGATGCGTGATTTTTGGTGAACTCATTTAATGCACTATCCGTAAATGCGCTGAAAAACGGGAATAACGGGTGCGAATTTAGTTGGATGCAAACGTACGGACCAAGTAATTGAAAATCATTGAACAGTAAAGCTCAAAACCGCTGATTTAAGACAGAATACACACCTG